CTTTCCCTCTGCACCTACATGTACAAGTTGTCTGCCAGCTCTTCTCATAAAGACTCGTTTCTTTTTTTATTCTTGTTAGCACTGCTGCCCAGATTCATTAAGGAGTGGGAAAGCAAACAGGATTTTCTTCATTTAGCTTGTGCATCAGAATTGTTGAGTGTGTTCCAATCTCAGAACCTTTATTATTGATGATGAGACTCCATTGAAAAAAATAAAATAAAATAAAATAATTTTGATGATCAAATTCCAGGATACTTTTATAAGGCTGACAGGGAACTTACTACCTGCCTTGTAAAACTAGCGCATTGGACATGGAGTCATCGCAGACTGCCAAAAGTTATTCTTGTCAGTCATTTTACAGAGTAAAGACACTTATACGGAGTTCCCCAAGTCTAACACTGGATATCCTTCAGTTAGAAATTCCTGCAGGTCAAACAATGGGTTGTACTATGACCTGACACCTCTGCTTTGACTTTTATGGTAAGGCAGCAACTACAAAGCCCTTGTCCAAATTGTATACACCAGAGGAGGCCAACCTGTGGCACAAGTGTCATGGGCAGTCTCTGCGTGTGGCACACGGCAGAACAGGGAGGGGACACAGCACAGCAGCAGACAGGGTAGGAGCAGAAAGTAAAGCAGACAGATCAGGCAGAGGAAGGATATCAGTGGCACTCAGGGAGGGAGCAGGGACAATTTGTAGCTCATCTGCCAAAAAGTTTGCCCTTCCCCTCTCCCTGCCTGGTTTACACAAAGCAGCAGCAGGGCTCTCAGATTTGATCCCACTAAATTAAGCCTTCTTTCCCTAGAGGAAATATTTTTCTCCAATTATTTACTTGTATACAACTCATTAAAAATGAGAATGGAATTTGCAAGTTGGAATATAGAATATTCCAGTCCATGGCCATACCAATTATCAGCACAGACTAAAATCCAGATATCCAACTGGAATTAAATAGTGGCAGTCAAACTGTATTAGAAAGAGAAAAAGAGGATTCCCCAGTGCAGTTACCACATTCACTACCACAACACTCAGCTCACAGGGAAAATACTAAGCCTTTCATCCTTGGCGCTTTTTCTCTATTCTAGTTATGTTAATATTAATAACTTGCTATATAGAATTACTGGTCTTGCTGCCAGTTAGGAGGTAAAACAGCACGCTGCTACATAGGAGAATTATATGGAGAAAGATTCAGAACTCATTTCCTTCGCCGACTGCCTTACGGAAAGAGTCAACTTCAACTACAGTACTGAACTAACAAATGTTGGCTTGGCAGAGTAAGTGTTCATTACCTACTTGTTAAGTTGAGATGAATTTACACGCGTTACTGACTGACATTCCCAGATTTGAAAACACTGGTCCTAGCCAGTACCCAGAAATGAAGCCAGGTATTAGGAAGAACTATCAGATTATGAGGGTGGACGAGCACTGGAACAAACTGCCTAGAGACATCTTGGAATCTCCATCCTTGGAAATATTCAATAGCAGCTTAGACAGACACTCAAGCTAGGACAATTTAGTCAGTGGTGATCCCACCTTGAATGGGGGCCTGGAGTAGCTGATCTTGTGATACCCCTTTTAGCCCTAATTTCCTATGATTTTATAATCCGAACTTTAAAAAAAATGAACAGTTTTGTTTCTACAGTGAACAGTGTTAGTCCCATCATATATAATACATAACATGAAAAAATTTGCAAGCCATATACATTCCACAGTTCTGTCTAGATTTCTTCCCCATTCTTTAAATTACATGCATCATATGCAGAATCTCTTTCAGAAACAATGTATTTTATATAATGCCAGCTGGTTGATGCACTGGAAGCATGCCATATGGCCCCCTCATGCAAAGGAAGGTATGTACAGTTTCACAGTGGGAAAGATTTAGCAACCTTGACATAAATTCTCATACAAACTAAGACTGGCCTATATCCGAAAGATTGATACCACACACTAAATGTCAGTTCCAGAAGTGCTCCAGGACAGGTGACAGTGTCACCTCACTCCAGCAGATGGCCTACTTCTCAAAGAGAAACTACAGAGCTTTTCATTACAAGGCAGGTTCCCCAAACATTAAAACATTATGAACCTTTGAACACACATTTTTCCTGCAAATGAAGAGTTAACATACGCTTCTCCCAACTCTGGCTGCCAATGAGAAACCAACTGGTAATATTGGAAGTTAAAAGCCAAGTGGACCACACTGTTCTAACAGATTAGGAGTGGTGTGTCTGCACAAATCACAAAGGGAAACCAGATTCATCTCCTGCTTGCTTGCTCTCAGATTAGAGACAGCTTCAGAGATAACTGGTTGTAACTCCTAAGAGAAGAGTTTATCCTGAATCACCTAATGGTAACTCGTCCAAATGATTAAGGAACAACAGTGGCAGACAAGCTAGAGGATTCTCAAGGTTCTTGGAGTGCCACTGGAGAACCAAGATTATATGAATTTCTCGACGATAAGTGGCTAATCAGTAAGCAATTTTCTTAATGACATTTGAACCTGGGGACAGGAAATAGTATAATAGTGCATATGCTATTTCATGAGTAATGAAGGTTTAGAAGAGAAAAGGTTTCCATGAACTTCTGCAAGCCCTGAACGTATTCCCAACACCCACACGTCAAATGTCAAGTGAGTCAAGAGGGCTCCGGAAAGATTTTTTTTTTTTTTTTTTAAAAAGAGAGAATACCACTCTCAGCAGCAAGAAAAAAAAGCCAAGAAGCAATTTGACTCATACTACTTCTTGACTAGGGAAGAAAGTAGGGGACTGTGTAAATTCTGAACAAGTGGAGCATAAAGTTTTTCATCTGAATTTCACTCACTGTGTATTCTGCATGTTTTTTCCCATACCATTTCATCCACTTTCTGAACTCTCTGTCCATCGTCTAGAAGAGGGGGAAAAAGGAAAAAACACCCATTAGGAAATCCTGCATTACTAGTTACATTACAACAAAATAAGAGGCAGCTCTGACAACTCACGCTGGCCTGAGAAGTTCTTTCCCAGTAATGCTCAAAAAGGACCAAGGGAAATTCATAAAACACACACTGACAGTCTGCCCTTTTTAGTTCCCAATGGGAGACCCTTTCCTTTGCTTCACCATGGCCAAAATACCAAGGCTGGCTTTTTCCAGTCTCCTCTTTTCAGGGAAGCTACATGTTCTGGGAAGACCGAGTTGACACTGCTCAGCATTCTGCTTAAGGATGGTGCAACCTAGGCAACCATTCCTCCTGTACTATATAAACCCACAGCAAGCAGAAGGAAGTGAAAACAGCCCAATCTGAACCCAGAAAGCAAAAAGGTGAAAAGGGATAAAGAGAAGTCGGCTACAGAGAATGGGAAAGCAGGAGTAAGCATGCAAAGCAACTGAAATAGCAACTGGAAGTGAGCACCACATTGTCAGAAACCAGGAAGAGCGCTTCAATCTATATCTAAACAGATTTGGTTTAAAACAGAACAGCAAGTCATTTGCAATGCAAGTCCACTGGTTGGCAACAGTTTCCTGCCAGACAGAAGAGAAAGGAGCTGAAAAAAATCTCTCTCACAGACGGTCTGATGCCTCGGAAGCAGGGCCACTATTTCTGAAATCCTGACCCTCCATATAACCTGTGGGTGCGTAGCACATGGAACTATGACACTGCGGCAACAAGGATTAGTTATATCTATTCAACATTAAAAGTGAGACTAAAATAGCATAGGAAAGGTTAGAAAGCCTTGCAACTGCAGTCCACAAACACAACACTCAGACTGGGGAGGAAAGAAAGCTTCAGTCTCCACTAACAATTTGAAAATAACTGAAGAACTCTGCTATATTGCCAGCAGTGAAATAGTTTCTGGTGACATTTAAAACTTACTAGGTTTAAAACCAATATCCCCAATCAATGAATGGAACAGCTCATAGCACGCAACTGGTTCAATCTCCAGCTTCAATAATGGTTCATGTTTAGAAAGGTTCCACGTCCCATCCCCCCCAAAAAAACAGACTACAGATTTTCCCTTTTAACTGAAGCTTTAAAACCTGTATGAAACGTGGTAATAAATAAGGAACTGTTGTTACGGCCAAATGACTACAAACTCAATTCAATCCCCGTCACAAATGTCCATCAAGAAAAAATATTAAAACTGGGCCAATTTAAACAGAGCATGAGACCTGTAATCTATCTATCGCAGATTCACACATTCTGAAACTGCAGCAGCTGTCAAGTGGTTAACCTGATGGGACACCAAGGATAAAGTATGATTTTTTCACCTACTCAAGTTATGAAATACTGACACAATACTCTTAACAAGAGGGATACCATCAGGGTTTTGTAGCCTGTCACCTACAAAAGAGCGCTTATGCCTCTCTGAACCAGTTAGTCCCTAGCATGCCTCATCTTGTCTTGTGCCTAAAGAAAAAAAACCATATTTCCACTATATATTTGCAAAGGTTATGTAATTCTTTACAGGCTTATTCTCACTGACCTAAATGCCCCTCTCATCCTTCTGTGCAAGTGGGCCCGAAAGCGATTAGTATCAGAGGAATGTAAAAAGACCTTGATAAAAATGAAAATCTGGCCTTCTCTCGCAAACAGAATGTCTTTTAAACTATGGCTACTGTTAAAATGAAGGAAGAACCTCATTTTTACAAGCTGCCCTCTAAATGACCTTGAGCATTTCAACAAAGGGTTGAGGCAAGTTTGTAGATGTGCTCCAGTGGTAGGTTTCCAAAGGAAACTACAAGATTCAAGGAACAGGGGTGAGGGGATTCTTTGGTCCTTCTACTGCCCTCCTCAATACAAGTCTTAGCACTCTTTGCCTATATCATCCAAAAAGAAGCTCAAAAGTTCTAAATTTCTACATGAAAACAGACCCTATCTGTTTCCCCACCCTGCCCCTCTCAAACAAGGAGCTAAAGGCTCTGTGTATCTTGCTGGAAGAAGTAAATTGACTTACTGTAAGGCTTGACCAACTTTTATTGTTTGCTTGCAGCTCCACCTCTCTCTTGGAACTGATTAACTTTGGGTGTCCCCATGGACACAGAACTAGTGGAAGTGTAAAGAAAAAACTGCTTGCCTAGGTATAATGGTCTCATCATAAGACTTCATTTTAAGTGCTGCATTTGGGTGCTTGCTAAGTACTACTATTAACTGAATACTCTAGTGAATTCTAGAGTCCTATCGGTTAAGTTACTCAGCAACTCCAGCTATATTTTAATAACTAAGCTGACTGGTTTATGGTTTGAGACTCTTAATGGGTCATTACTGCCACAATCTGGACTGTAAGTTCTTAAAAGTTCTAGGAGTTTGTGCATTTCATCTCCTAATGTTTAATTTTGTTTAAATCCTTCCTAGATTTACTAAGCCTACATAGCACTACCCACTATGTTACGGGCCTTTTAAAGGCCTAGCCTATTCCAGACATAGGATACCAAATGGGGTCCATACTCTAGGCAGTGAGTTTAGGGGGTAGCAGAACTACTAGCAGCAGATAAAAACCATACATATAGAATCTGTGCTGCCAGAACACAAAGTGCATTCTGGGAAGGCACCAGCTCCTAAATGGACTGTGGTAGCTGGCTGAAAAATCCAAAATTGTCTACTCTGGTCTTCAGACAGCTGCCAGGCAGTGGTAAATGCCTTACTCCACTCAGGAGATTTGCTTTGCAGGTAAAACACACTCACGGTTCTGCCAGTCCAACACGGCAGGTTTTTGCTTAGCTAACCCTGCAACTTTACAAAAATCTTTTGTTCCCATTTCATTAAGGCCACACCTACCATCACCTCCTTGAGATCCTAAGGGTTGAATTACGCTGCCTTAGAAGCTTAGTTAATATGTTTTCTGATCACTCCATAAGCACTGCCAACAAGTACCATAACACACACAATTCCCTCCTCCTGACATTGTGTTCCAGACCTTGGTGACTTGAGCAGATCTATATTCAAATTGAACTCACCTGCTTGTTGATGCAAGGCAGTTACCTGTAAGCCATAAAGCAGTGAGCTAGACCTTGAATAAAACACCTACAAATCTCACATTTCTAGACATAAAACTCACCTCAGCATATTTGGCTGGAATATCAGCTTTCTCCACACCATAGTGATGTTTGCAGTTTGTGGCTGCAGCAACTTGGAGCACCACCTGACCCACACCTGCAGAGAGAGAGAATATAAGAACAAGTCACAGTAAAAAAAAAGAAAAAAAAATACACAATGAGAAAGGTATTTCTAAAACCCTCAAGAAGCCAAAATGCACACGAGGAAGGACAGCTTTGTGGTTAAGGTAGTGGACTGGGACTCAGGAAACCAGGGTTAAACGCTCAGCTCTGCTATAGTTTCTGCACAAATCTATTCCTGTATCATCAGAAAAAAAGGCGGATATGCTGCTTCACTTCTCTAGTTCTTTGTCCGTCTTGCTTATTTAGACTGTAAGCTCTTCAGGACAGGAACTGACTTTCTGCTAGTACATCTAGTACCTACTGCAGAGGTGGTTAGCCATGTTAGTCTGAAGTCAGGCACAAAGTAGGGCAAGGTGGCACCTCAGGGTCCAGGGGCGGGCAATTATTTTGGGCGGAGGGCCGCTTATTGGTTTTGGCAAGCCATCGAGGGCCACATGATAGGCAGCCAGGGGCATATAAATATTAATTTTCTATATTTTTCAGGGGCCCTGCAGGCCAGATAGAATGGCCTGGCAGACCGCATTTGGCCCCCGGGCCACATGTTGCCCACCCCTGCCTTAGACAGTAACTGATTCAGAAAGTTCATGACTCTTTAAACCTGTTTTTTTATCCATCAGTCAATCCTCATTAAAGCTGCCAATTGTTTGCATTTGCTCACTGTGCTGGATAGAAGACAAGGCAGGGCGACACCTTAAAAATGGCTGCATGACAATTTAGGAACCTATGTTCCACTTAAATGACTAGTGTCCCCTAGAGGGGGGATAAATATGGTTGTTTTATTTCTGTTTAATAAAACCAACAGCTGCTAGGTGAATTCTGAAGTTTATGTCTTCCAATACATCGCAAGTATATGCGTCAAAAATGCCCTCAACTAAAACACTGATAAAAACACTTGGTGGTGAAAGTAAACCTGGCTTTCACCTTTACAGAATATGCATACAAATGTATCAGTACACAGAAAAGATCCTAATCCAAGACAGAAACAGTACCTGGTAACCACCCCTCCCCCCCGCCCCAAAAAACACAACTATTGTTCAATGCCCAAAGTAATTTCAGAAGTAACTGCTATGCTGCAAGACGAAACATTACTTAAAAATGTATGAACTTCCCATCACTCCATATTATATTTGCATCAGACACTACCAGCAGTAATTAGCTGCCATTCCTATACACTGTCTGCAGGCATTACATCTCAAGCTTGTGTGAAAAAAGTCACAGCTAATTTTTTGCTTGCTTATCTGACCCAGATTTTGCATCCCCTTTTGCAAGTACCTATAAATTGTAGTCATTCTGCATTTCTTAGGGAGACTGATTACCACTCTGAAACATATGACTTCAGTATCCATTTCAATATAGTTTATAGACTGGATATAATATTCACTATAATCGCACTAATGCACTTAAGAGTTTCACAGACAGTCATGTGAGAAACAGGAATCAAGTCAAACAGATAGAAAACTGCACTGTGTTTCTGTGCAAATGGGCTGCCTCATTGACTGCCTCCGGGAAGTAGCAAAAGTAATTGAAGAGGTGGCACCCTTGCCATTAACTCATTATCTAAACAATGCCCAGTTTGGTATGAAAGGGAACCAGGAGATGACAGTGTTGTGTAATAAAATATTTATACCGCAGGAGTGCTTAGAGGCCTCAATTACGATGACATACAAAAAGCAGTCAAGGCTCTGAAGAGCTTACCATACTTATTATAAATAATAGAAAATGAATATAAAATAATGGGGGAGGAAGGATTTAAAAAAAACTGTAAAAATAATATGCATTTGTATGGACCAAATTAATGTTTTATTAGATGTCACTAACGACCTTCTCTTTTAAAAAAAAAAAAAAAAAGCATTGGGTTTGAACTGTGTCCTAATTCTAAATCAGTATAGATATGTTCTGCCTCCCCTTTTCAGCATCAAATAGATACAGTATACTTGACTTCTGAAACGTACCAAGTTACTGGTAAAATACAACTGAAACATTCGAGCTTGCTGCGTTCCACAGAAGGGCAATTCCTAGATGCACAAGAAACACTAAAAACTTATTGGATATCGTTCTAATGCTCAAATGTGGTCCTAGTTTGCACTGTACTTCATACTGACAAGAAAAAGGGGAGGCCACCCTGCTGCATGCATGCTGCAAATGGCACAGGCAGCCTGTGCATGTGGCACACCAGAGAGGGGTCAGGCAACACACTGGCAGATTGGGCAGGGGAAGGGGATCATATTGGCACTTGGGGGCAGAGGGGTTAATTTGTGGCATGCCTGCCAGAAAAGGTTGGCCATCAGTATTCTGAAAATTCACTTCCGTCAACAGTGTCAGGCTTTCATTACTGTTAGGATGAGTTATGTAAAGAGGAGACAATTTCCCTTGTTTCACTGCATCAAATCAATTTGAGAATGAACATGCATATTTGCAGCATACAAAGAAAGTTAACACTATTGTGTGTTTACCTGCTATTGACAGATGTTAATGAAGTTTTTATACGTTATATTTGGGAGAATCCCAAGAGCAATCTTTGAGGTTCTTTTGGTAATGAACATCTAGCACCACTTCTGGTGACATGGTAAACAAACATTATATTAGACAGATCATACCTTTCTCAGACTTTTAGACAAACAGCAGTAGATTGTGCTACTTCCAGATACGATTTCCTATGACCTTAGTGAATAAACATGTGCACACAGCTATGGTACTGTTATTCCAGCACAGCAAAGCAACCCAAACTGTATTTGAGTGATGAATGTTAATAGACATTCTACTGTATTTTAGTTTGCACATTTTTTTTTTTTTTAATTTTGATTGATAGGAGCAGTGGTGTTCACCATTTCAGTCCTACTGGTCAGGATCAGGCCCCACTGACCTGCGTGCCTGATCTAGCACATAGGGCCACAACCCATAGGGCTCCCCACATATCTGTGGGAAGGCCCGTAGGTCAAAAGACACAGCACCAGGGGCCAGACCTGGCCTACAGACCAGGGGTTGAGCTACCCTGAGATAGAGGACAAACATTAAAAAAGCATGAGAACACACATTTCATTTAAATTAGCTAAGAAAAATCCACTGACAGGAAATTCTTACTACTCTTTTCCTGATGGAAGTCAAGGAACTAAAAAAAATCAACTAAAAAAAGAGCATCTTCTTACTCATAACAATGTCTGTTCCACATGTTTGAGTCGCATGTGGCTACTGAATCAACAACAACAACAAATATTAGAGCTGCCTGCCACTGGGCAAAGGCTATTCATGGGATACAGAACTGGATTCTACTTAGCCTTGCAACACAACTGTCAAAGTTCTGACTATAAACTCGTTATTGCTGGCAATTATGTCATATGTGACAAAAACAAACCCAGCTTGATTTTATGATAATCAAGTGCCAGCGCTGCAGACTTGGAGATATGGAGGGGTAACTTCCTTTTGTTACATTAAAAAGGCAAACTAGATCTAAAAGCCAAAAAGCATAAAATATGAAAGCTGTTAGTGACACTGTCACAGAGTCATTCCAGAGCTATATTTTAAGATGAATAGCATCTAGCTACCGGGGCAAGATTGGAGTGTTCTTCAAAAGGTTCCTGAAGAACCAATACTTCCTTCACTGGCAAGGGTGGAACACATGCTTGGCGCCACCTCCCATTATCATGGCAAAGAAAGCACTGGAATGCTACATCGATTTGCTTAGTTTTGCTGGAGAAAATAACAGCCTCATTGAGGATTACATCTAACACATGCTCCCAGCAAGAAGCAGAATCCTTAGTGATGAGTTACTTTCCAGCTGTAATATTAATATGGGGGGGGGAAGGGGGCAGTTTCCCCCTTAATTGGAAGAGAAAAGACCCCTGGACAGAGAAAGAAAAAGAAAGACAAAAGCAGTTGTATGTCACTTACCACTGCCCAAATCAACAAACAAGTCATCCTCTGTCATCTTAATTTCATCAATCATTTGGGCCACTAAATCAAAGGAAGTTTCTCCATACACCTCTGGGGAAAAGGGTTCATAGTTGTTGAGTTTCTCTGGGTCGGTCACCGAGTGGTTATATACTTGCTGCAGGATATGACGGAGGAGTCCATTGGAAGGACGAGTGTTCAGTTTCATGGGCTGGGTGGTTCCTTTCCACTAAGGAGGGGAAGTTAAAATGGGTTGTAAACCAAATACGAGAAAGGGGGGGCAGGGGCATCAAAATATAGGTGCATATGTAGGGAGCAAGACTGACAGAAAGACAAATGTATTCCCTTCCATGGTAGTACAATTAATCTACAGGTCTTCCATAAGGAGACATGATAAAGAAATCCTGCAACAATGCATCTTAAAAGCAGGCTAATTTGCTTTATTATCTGGCATCGCCTCACTTAAAGGGTCTTTTCAAACAGTGCACAGCAAAAGCATGAGCTGATGCAACTACAACATCCAACTATACCACCAATGTAAGAGGGGCTGGATTTCCTTGCTGGAAATTGTCAAATGAGAGGAATCGCAAAGGCAGCAGTGGTGATAAAAAAAATTTTAAAAATTAAAAAAAAAAAAAATGATGGAATTAAAAGGATCCCTTTTCCCCATAACCTCAATCCTAAATATATAAGCAACTGCTATTAAGCCTTTTTCTTTCACCCTCCTCCTGGATTTTGCACATCTAGGTCAGTCTTGCTTCTGTGCCTCATCTCCTCCTTTCCAAGATCCCTCAAATTTGCTCCTCTGTTCATGTTTTAGATACAACTTCCTCCAGGAAAGTCAGCTGGCCTGTAGTCCAGCATTCAGCAGAGCACTGACAAAAATAGATTATACTGACAGGATTCTCACTTTGTCAGTGCCTGCTTAGCAGAGATACAATTGGACTGGCCAATATGTACAAATCAAATAAATAAGGCACAGAGCATTGTTTAATCTGGAGGCTCTCTCTTTATGAGAGCATTCAAAGGAAATATAATAAACATTCACTGTCCAATATACAGTCAACATCTTCAAGCATATGATTGCTTTAATGTAGTTTATAGGGTCCCAAAAACCACAACTTTTGTGAAATAAGCAGTAGTTGTAAATTGGATGAATTTATCGAGTGCCTAGACAGATGCTTCTGAAAAAAAGTGGCATCAAAACAGCATACAGATTAAGTCAAACTTTAATATTAATCTGTTTGCTGTGTTTCATGCCCTCCGTCCCACCTTTTAAAATAAGCACGAGGAAAACTGAAAAAGTTACTTAATTAAAAAAAGGTATTAAGCTAGATTTAATTCCAGTTTTTCCAGAATGGTCCTTTAGAGAAGAAAAGCTCTAAAACATAGCTTTATTGAAAAGTAACAAAATTTGTAATCCATGGATCACTGCCATAATACACAAGAGATTCTGATGGGCTATGTAAGATGCCTTCAAGCCACATATACCCACATGCACAAGTAAATCTATAGATGTGAAATCCTTATGAAGTTTCTGAACAAAAAATGAGATATGGCACATGAGAAGGAATATTTTCTTCCCCAAAGTTAACTCCACTATTTTAAACATCAAAAGTAACAATGCCAACTGCACATTTGGGACTAAGTCTGCAAACCTGTACTTTAGCAAAATTAAGCTACTCTTATATAAAAGAAGAATATAAATTCACTCCAAGGTTAAATCCTTGAGTGCCAAGTTTTGGCCCAGAAAGGAAGGTTTAATAGAAGACTTATTAACTCCTGGATGAATGAAAATGCTGTTAATAGCAGTGCTGCTGTTTAGGTAAATACACACAATTCTGAGCATTAAAAAAAAAAATTCAGCACATTCTTGGATGTAATTTACTGCACATGAACTTGAAACCATTAGCCTGAATAAGACAGCAAGATAGGCATCATGGCATAACAAAGGTAAATACATACCAACTGATGAATGCTATCAATGGCTCGGTTGTATTTGTCACAAAGCCTCTGCATGCTTTCAAAGCTGGGAAAAGGGGGGGGAAAAAAAAAAGTTTGCTGGTTAGTCAGCAACACAGATTTAAAATGCTCAACCCAACATACTAGAACAAAGCTTTCAAAATTGGTAGACTTATATTGGTAAAGTTAAATATACTGTAAGTATACAGGTTCTTTTTATTTCCTCCAAAGACACTCTCTTTATGCAAATTTATGAATGTATAATGTCCTTAAATAAAAGTATTTAGCAGTCCAGCCGCTCATAGTAGAGTGCACGGATGTTAATATTCCACTTCTAAGAGCTTATTGTAATAAATGGGAGATAAACAATTAGGGAAAAACCTTAATACTATATTAGACATACCTTATAGCCCATTAGCTTTTTACGCGCAAGCCTATATGACAAGCAGTTTGAAGTTGCTTGTAATTTGTTCTGTTTTGTCTCTTCATCTGTCCAGACACCTAGCCAGAGCCAAGTCTTGTGATTCTAAAATGTAGCCTGCCCTATAATTCAGCTTCTTCAGACTATAACTTCATCCATCACAGACCTGATTTACTCAAGGAACATATTGCTTATTAAGTGGGTTAGCTGGATTTACATTCTGTTTAACCAGGCACCTTAATGACAGAAGCTGAGAGGATTAGGAAAAAAAAAAAAAAAAAAAAATCAAATCACCTCTGTGCCAGGGAAGGAAGGAGGACAGCTGCCTGTCAGATTGTCTATTATACAACTACATTTCACATAACTTCAAAAGAAAGGCCATTCCAGGAAGTAACTGGAATTAGAGAAAATCCAATAACCGCCATCTCAAGACAGGAAGGGAGGAGGAAAAAGCACAAAGGACAAGAGAAGGAAGTATCTCTTTAACCTCTCAAACTTAACTTCTCCACGCCAGTTGGCTAAGGCTTCGCATTTCAAGAATACTGCAGCTTTGCACTGACTTTGAGTTGCCAAATAACAGGACAACAGGAGAGGCGGAAACTGAACTGTGTATACAATTTTGCATTTTTGCATATAAATATTTCTATAATCTACTGGTGTTCGTTCACGTTTTCGGCATTTGCCAAGCAACCTGCAAGGGGCAATTCTTTTTTAGAATATTTATTTTCCAAGCAAAGCAAGCAGGATTAATACCATGACCAAAATGACAGGTTTATGACTTCCTTGAAAAGCTGCATAGGTAAGTAAGGTGTGACTGCTGAGAACAGATGGTTTCTTTTTATTCAGTGTTGCTGCTGACAAAGGTGAAGCTACCCAGTTATTCATGCCCTATCAGGACGCCGGTACTACAAAATTATTCTTTTAAAAATGTTGGTGTAATAACTATATACCTAACAGGTACCAAGGAAACACTGCTCCTGCAAATACATTGGTGAGACTGGAAGGGCCAGTAACTCTCCAGATCAGATCTTTAACACAAAAAGTAAGAATGCTCCTTGGTGCTGTTTAATTAGATGTGCACAACTCCCTTTGTGCTGCAGGTGCCAATTAGCTGCTTAAACAATTAAATGCCCAATTAAAAATCTTTGGTTTCACTTATCAAACTTATTTAGGGGGAGAATTCAGTTTTGTGGACCTTGGTGAATCTAAATCTTTTCCAAAAACTCAATATGGTGCATTCTCACACTTACCAGCCAAGCTGTGGTTTTAACCGTCATCTCTATTAACGCAGTCAAATCAAGCTAAAACACACAGTCTCTCTCAGTTTTCTCCAGATGAACTGATTACAGCCAAAAAAAGATTCCACCGGGTCAGATTCTGTCCCTCCCAACCTCCACCCACACTGCAGCCTGCAAGAGAGCACTATACAGACATAAAGCCAGCCTGTGAAATAAATGTTTTCACAGAAGTCTCCACATCAAGCACTGCTCCCTTGTTCAGGAGGACATGTAGAAACAGTTTGAACTCAAAAACTCATTTTGGTATCCTACTTGTATTTAGGGTACTAAATTGGTACCATCCTAAATAGGAGAAAAGTAAGGAAAGCTGTCTCCCCTCTTTGTTGGAGGAGACTGTCGGCAATGTCTTTGTGTAACTCTGGCATAATTTTTTTTATTTTTTAACAGGAATTTAGTTACTACAAAAGCAGAAACTTCTTTACCATTGAGATTCCTAACCCTGGAACTAGCCCAACCACACAGATACTGATCATTGTTTCGGGGTGAGTAATTCCAACGTACACCAACTCAACTTTCTGCTATGTGGAGTTTCCAATTATGTCCTGAATCCAATGGCCTTTGCCAATATTTGTTACACATTTCCTACCAAAATAACTTTGCAGAGTCTGAAGCCAGTTCTAAAAGACTTCAGCTCAGTTCACAGTGTCTAAGAATAACTAATTGCAGACTAATTCACCACAACTCTTTTTGGCTTGTCCTCCCCAAGAGAAAAAAAACAAAACATTTCATCTCACCTTTTTGTATCATAGTCAATTAAAACATAATTTTCCATAGCAAGCTTGAGATCTGGGATTTCTTCACAGACCCACCTGAAATAAGACAAGAATGAGAATGCAATGGATCTGCAAAACTTTTATTGTACTGCTTAATGCTTAACATGGCAGGTTTTATTTTTACTGAAACAGCATTCTGCCTGAATTTTATTTCGACTGACATTCCTGCAGTAGGTACGATGATCATAATATTGTTAGAAGTAAAGTAGAGAACACTTCTCATCTAACACAAAATGAGTACAAAGTAAGGAGCCTTATACCACTGGCAGTATCATAAAGCTCTTGAAGTGGCACCAACTCAATTGCAACTTCACAATAAAGTGACAAATATACTCAAATGATGCAAAAAGTAAGTCATAGCTGGTGCTAATCTAACTGAAAAATGTGAAGAAAAAGGTACATCTTTCTATTTTTTTTTTTTTTTTTGTAAAACTGCTACTAACAACCACTCTGGATAAAGCCACACGCAGCAAAACTGGACACATCCTCTCCTGCACAATCATGTCTGAGAAAGCATAGGTGTTTTCAGCATAAAAATAAACACTTCCAAGCATCTGGTGCAATATATCATATGTTGTACCTCATTAGTGCAATATTTTGTACTCCCTCTTATGTGACCTATTTAGAAGCAGATTTTTCAATGGGGCTTCTGATGATTGGTATTTTAAGGATGCCCTGTACTCTGCTAGCATCATGTACGAAGGGCTGACACTCACCGCCAGTTTACCTGACAAGCTAGGGACGCCACAGGAAGTCTATAGAGGTCTGTATTCCACTACAAATTTTGGGGGCGGGGGGGAAGGAATATTTTCAAGTACAACTTACAAAATAAAGACACAAGGGCCCAAAAGTAAGTGTCAAATCACCAAAGCAAGTCTTTGAACGCAGTTAAGGAAGCTACATCTGAAGAAAGGGTTGCAAACCCTCTTCCCTTTAAACATTAAATAAGAGTATTCTATTGCATCTTCCTAATGCAAATTCTACAGAATGCCACTGGAATCGCACATTTTCTTCTATTACAATCTTGACATTGAGGACAGATTTTTTTAAAAATATTTTAAAAAATACTATTGGAATAATCAAAGAAAGCTCTTTACAGGGTTACAACCCTATTGTGTTTCATGGACCTAAAGTAAGGACTTCTAATAGCCTCGAGAGTGACTCTGAAGATGGTTTTGCGGGGCCTCGTGTTCATCATCTCCATTATTCACGGAACAAATCTAGTCAGAGTTAAAAAAACAACCCCACAAAACTAAAAGCTGGGATGCTAACAATTGCCAGAGCTGATGTGGCTTGTGAATGGATGAACCCAAGTAAAAGATTCTACAGCTGAACAGATTAATATGCAAGTCAGAAGAGATTCCAGAACCGTCTCAAATAGTTGAATGTCTTTTCAATAGAATGAACAGTACCAAAAACATCCTAAAAATAAAGACATATTTTACTCAAGATGATTACAGACATGCAGGAAGCAGATCTGCCAAGTGTCATTTTCACGCAGTCCTTTTCCTGACCATTATTATGCTGAAAAGGCATCCAATTTAAAACTACAATGTGTACAAAGCGTGCCGAAGAAGAAAGGCATGCTCTTACCATTGCTCTATGGGACATTAAGTTCCTTAAGTACCCCTAATGATCACTACTCTCATAAAACCTTATTTATTTGATCTCTACAAACCTGTCTAAAACTAGGTCAGCGGGCAACAGACAGGTGATCCTGCCTTCAGCCAGTCATCTCCATATCCTCTCTCCTGGCAACTCTAACATAAGCAACATGCTGTACTTTTTGTTAGTATAAATAAGGCTTTTATGACTAGGAAAGAATACTTTATGACCTCATTAAGAAACAAGGATAAGTTACAGTCCCTTATAATCATAAAATTCTCCAACAAATGCAAAAAGAAACTACTGTATTCTCTCATATTATAACCTAAGCCTTCCTCCCTGCCCCACATTCCCAAAACCACCTGGTGAAAATCGCGATGAGTGTTATATGTGAGAAAAAAAGATCCCCGTGGGTTTGGAAATTTGGCAGCAGAGAAGGGTTAGGAGAGTCATGACAATTAAATGTTGCTACTGCTCCCCTTGCCAGCAAGTTTCCAGCTTGTGAGGACCCCCCCAGATGGACGACCCATGCACTGCCCTGGACCCAGCACATGGGATCGGTCTGCGGGCTCCATTCTGCATATGGGACTGTTGTTGGCAGGCTTGGCTTCCTTGCTGCTGTGACTTACTTTCTACCAAAATTTTTTCTTCTTCAAGCTTCCTTTGAAAAAAACCAAGATTTCTATTACAGAGGGGCATGCTATATGCAAGAGCATATGGTACACTGCACATGTTCTGAAATATGCAAATTTGTCAGACCCATGCTTCATGGTGGGTGTCAGACCCAGTCACCGCAATTACACTTAGTTAAACTCTTTTGCACAAACAAGACTCACCCCCTGTTTGCTAAGCTTGTGTAGGCAGTCAAACCACATTCAAGACTACCATTTTAGTCCAAGTAGCTATGTGGGCTGACAAATGATGTTGGAACAGTGTTTAACTCCATCCAGTTGTCTAGCTGAACACAAAATCCAGTACATGTACAATCTTAAGTATTTATGTAGGGCCCGTGTCACTGGGACCTATAATTGCCATCTAGCGCAACTGTCTGAAGTATTTAAGACAGAGCCCTGTTTAAAACTGTCTAGCCTGGTTTGACTATCTAATCAGGATAACTCGATATAAAAAAGCCACTCGCATAACTGCATAGACACAGCTCCTGCCAGACAAGTCATTTCCCACCAGTACTGAAACCACAGTGAGTGCTCTGTCACAATACATCTGGCTGTTATAGTGCCTAAAAATAATCAAACTTCTTACCCTTTCACCTCTTCCCCCCCCGCCCTTTCCCACTGATCAACTTGAGGCACTAGCAATACAGAAAATGCTAGCGCAGGCATCACTCCCAACTACTAGTATTGTAAAGATGTAACAGTTGGAAATTGTGAGGAACATATGCAGGATAATCTTTAAAAAGACAGGAGTGAGTGAGATAATGTGTGTGTTTGTTTTTCTAAAGTGCCTAACACTGGGATCCTAAGAAATGAATTTAAATTCTGTCACTGGATGCTGAAGCATCCTCATCCACATAAAAAGCACCATAAAGTTGATACTCGTGTCCAATTGGAGTTAAAACTACTCCCACAACTGGAACAGTTTGGAACAAGCTAAAATTAAGCTGGGAATATGAGAAGGAGATATTGCATCACCCGAAGACTAAAAGCAAATTAAAAACCAGTGAAAGTAGGTGTCATGCAAATTAGAGCACAGGCTGAGTTCAGCTATTAGAACTGCTGTCTCTCTTTGCAGTTTGATTCCTGCAAAAATATTTCATTTATAACATTTAATATCCATTTAGGAGGAAAGAGGTTTGGGTTCTAACCAGATCTACAATCAAGCACTTACCGAATTGTCTCAATGATTTCATGAGCAGCATCATGGTGTTTGTCCTGAAAGCAAAGACAGACAGAAAGGTTGTTTCAGAGAGGCATCTGGAAAACAGCATTCATGTTAATCGCTGAAAATTACAGGACTCTTTTTTAAAATAAGATCATGAGTGAAAAATGCAGAAGGGAAGGAGTGCTTAATTGCCATAAAGCACAGTTAACATAATCAGAATAAAGTACTTCTTGCATTTGTATCGTTTACATTTAAGAAAAGATTTATTTGAGTTTCTTACAAACTAGTAGTAGGCTTGTACACAAACAAAAAAAATTAAAAGAAAAAAAAGGAAGAATGAAAAAAGAAAGACCTTCCTTCCACTTATGTCACTGTCACTTCCCAAAATAAGATTCTGTAACTGATACCCTCAAAGAAAACTGGTATGAGGTGGGTGTTTGAATTCAAGTTCTATAATGAACAGCTGATTTCATCTCCTGAGCATCTGCCCCATGGTCACGTATCCATGTGGGCAATAAGACTTTGGGTGGGCAAATGGCTTTTTAAAATTATCAACTACACAATAAGAATGCATTATATTAGCATTAAAAACTGGTAACATCAAAAACAAAAACACAGACACCACTACATGAAAGGTTTTTCCATGAAAAAGCACATAACATTCTGTCCATACACACAGGAGTGTGCACCATAAAAGTCTTATGGGCATGATGTCGAGATGTCACTTCTCTCAAGCAAGGAAAAACCACTTGAGAGGTTTTGCAGGTCATTCCGTAAGGGTCAGCATCCAGCCCCTGAAGAGACCAGATCCAGCCCACCATACCACAGCAGGGAATCAGCACCTTCCAGCCACAACAGCAGAGCTCTGCTGTCTTTTTAATCTGTTTTTTTTAATCTATTCCCTTTACAGCAGCTTCTGATCACCAGGGAGGTGCAGGGATGCAGCCTGCAGCAGGGGCCAGGTTAGAAGTAGCAGCCCACGGAGCCAAAAGCTGCCTACCCCGCTCTAGGGTATTTCCTGGACCCACATCTACAACAGCTTTGCAACCCTACTTCAGTGTTGTGTTGTGACCTTTCAAATTAAAGAAGTCCACTATCTCAGGACCTTCCAGAGCAAGAAGCAAATGCTGTGTTCCCACAGCTAGTTTCCCCTCTCTGCCCTAGGGTATTTTTTACATGTCTAGTGATGGGAAATTCCAGGTTTGAGGGTGATGGTAGACAGGTTGCTTGGGGGAAAGAGAAAACATATAATGGTTGTTACCATGAAGCCTGTCCTTGGTTGTGTTTTTTTAATTGCTACACAATCCTCCTATTTAAGTGGTTGAAGATTCATGCTAGCACATATTTGTCACATAGCTGTCACTTCTGTGGGGTAAGCATTTTTCTTTTATATGGAATCAATGTATACATAGATTTTGATCAACTTACTGACACCCTGATTTGGAATTCTTCCTGTGGTGTGGAGTTAAACAAAATTTAGATTTTTGTTTAAAATATATTATATATTTCAGACAATACAAAGCCAAACATAGGTCAGAGCAGAAAACCTACAAACCCCTCCCCCCAGCCCCTTTTACAAATTGGCTTTGGGGTTGGGTTTTTTTTGTTTTGTTTTTTTTAAGTCAGAAAGGACCAAGAGAGCTGCTGCTATAGGAAATTTTCATACAAAGCAACTTGCACATGGCCAGATAGTATAGTCATTAGGCAATGTTTGATAGGAATCTCAAGAGCCAGTGCGAACTGGATAAGAAACAAAACTCATGTTCACTTAACACATAGGTGTGAAAGATGATGCTCTCTAGTCTGCCTGGAAGACGTTTTATTTTTATAATGCGAAAATGTAAGGCTGTAACTAAAGAGAATCACACAGGTTGGGCTCAGAAGTCTCAGACTTGAGAACCAATTTAAAAATCCGTGAACTTTGCAGGCTGAGATGCCATACCTAAAGGAGGGGAATGAAACAAAAAGAAAACCAACAAGTTTTCTCCTCCATCTACACTGGCACAGAAAGTGTCACCGTCTAATCAAGAATTTCACATCCTAACCACTAAACAGCCCTCCACTTATGCCCTGTAATATACCAAAATAACACAAAGTACTCCCAGAATTGCACAGATGATCACATCTGGATTACACTTACTCCAGGTAATGCTAACCGTCACATTGTCCTCTACTTGCACAGCCAAAGTAGATGGGAATCAACGGCATAAAATGCCCAACATCACAGAGGGCTACTCCTATAATTAGCACCATATGCAAAAGAAGTCAATTGTGCACTAGCTTGACCATAGGGGGAATTCAGTTCACTTTGTTTCAATTGCTAGTGTGTTTCAGCACTATTGGAACTGAATCAAAGTTCAATCTGTGCCACAGAGGTACAGAATCCTGGGCTAGATGGATTGTGGTCTGACCTCGCACAGCATTTCTTATGCTTTTTTTTTTTTTTTTTTTTTTTAAATCACATTCTGTGGTATCCCAGGAGATGCAACCAATTAGATACAACTAACTCTGGACCAAATATTCTGAACCAGTAAGAGAGCCAAGGTAGCCAGCATCCCCTGGGCAACTTCATGTTCACAAAACACCTGGAGCACTTATCCTTGTGGCCTGTCACAGAGGGCAAGTCTCCTTCCTCATCCTCAAACTCTGAAGCCACTGCTACTAATTCCAGATCTTCAAAATTCAAATCCAACCAGCCTAGAGCCCTGGTCCACCCTGCAGCAAAGACTTTTGCATTGATCCAGTTACTTCAGAAGCAGGTATGCACAACTACTGCAAAAAATACTATTGTAAAAACAGCTAACAACTTCTGGTTTCATTCACTTTCCCAGGTCCTTCCCAAAGAGCCTTCCATAACCTCTTCCCAGATAATTGAAATATTTATTTTTCGTCACAAAGTAAGTAAACAGCCAGAACCAAATGCTCATCCTAATGTCCATTTAAAAGACAAAAGAATTAGATCATTATGGGGGTCTATTCTCTTCCCACAATTCTTCCGAGCTTCCATAGGTAGCCTCAAGAACTCCCAGAAATTATAGGGGAAGTTTTTAGTTCGTAGAGTAAACCCTAAGGAAGCAGCAATACTGCAAAACGTAGCAGAACTCTAATGTTAACACAAAATTTAAAAAATGATCAACAGTTAACAAGGACACAATGAACCATTAGTACTTAAACTGGCATTATTCAACTGATTTAGTTACCAACAACTTGGATCTCTAGCTTAGATGCAGGCCAACTTAAGTGCCGGCATTTTATATTAATACAGTCCCAGCTGGAGCTATTCATTTTGACTAACTGCCGTGGACCGTCTAATGCAAAGGTCAGTCAGTCTCTACCTAAGAAATCAGGTTAACTGGAACCACGTTTAAGAGATAATTTAGACTCAGCAGTATTACAAAGGTCAAATTACATAAGAATTTTCCAGTTCCATTCAAAATGAAAATGTGTCACCTACTTGATCCACTTTCCTCCCCTTGCTCTGGGCCAGAGCTTACCCTTAAAATTCACTGCAGGTTCACAGCTGGCAAGGATCTCTGTCCTGGTTTACTTAACGGGAATTTACAAAGGGACAAAAGAAATTGGTTGTGTGGACATTTTTGTTTCCTTGTGAGGCATACTGAGAGCCTGATAGTCTTACCTCTACTGTACATAATCCCTCCTCTAACTTTTCACCTTCAATTGGTTATTCTTCCTGGCATTTCTAGTCTTCCCTATGGCTTTGTTCTCCAATGTTTTTCATTTGTGTGGACATGAGCATCCTGTATCCCCCTTTAACTATGCGAGTACAATTATACCAGCACAGCTACATAGTGTCCCAGGTATTTTGTGACTACAGAACAAGAAAAAGAAATATTTCATTTCTTTTTCATATTACATGCTGTCAGTATAACCTATTCTTCTCCCCATACAGGAATATGCTGTGAAAATGAGTATATTGTACCAATACAGCTACATCAACAGAAGAGGGTTGTGCTATTAACTACAATGGCAAAGACAGACAACACTCCCTGACAGTTACACCGATAAGAATAAACATTTATAAAACCAGCCTACAAGACCCATTTTAATACCTACTTAACTGGTTAAAAGCATCTATTTGTTACCAGCTTCAATTCCCCTGTCATTTCCATTAAAACTGAAAAAAGAACCTTTCAATACCTGCCTAAGGCCTTCTCTACCAAGAAAAGTTGTACTACTTAAAGCCGAGGTGTAAATTCAAACAGGTACAAACATCCCACTGGTATCCCTGCATATGGAAACTCCACCATGACTGGTCACAAAGTGGTCAAGGGCCTTTCCAAACCTAGTGGCCAACCGTGGGGGGGTGAGACAAGGTTATTTGGGTAAATCCAATATATTTTATTACACCAACTCAGTTGGAAAAATTGTTCTTAGCAAGCTTTCGGACACAAACACCCTTCATCAGGCTGAGGAAGCATTTGCAGATGGTCTCTGTACTTCCTGGATAGAGTGGTAAAGCATGCCAGTTAGGAGATCAGCAGGGAAAACAGGCTAAGGCTTGTCCCCGCCTAGTTGATCCCTCATCCCCACTGCCCGGGCCCTCTGCAAGAAGGTAAACACCGTACTCTATAAATTAATTTTTAATTGGGGGCTACTCAATTCACAAAAGTTAGGGAAGGGTGCCTTGAATCCAGTGAGGGGTACCACAAGTCCAAAAAAGGTTGAGAACCACTGATCTAAAGCCACAGAAAGAGACTTTTCACCACTCTGCCACCGCACCCCAGGATCCGAGAAGATTTTCAGTTTTGCCAATATTACCTAGGATAGCTAATCCGAAAAACCTCTCATGTACTAGAATGAGAGTTTGCACATGGCAAGGTATTTAACTATATGGTAAAACCCTTGTATATGCCAGCTGCCAGATCAACAAGTTCTCCTCCAACCCAGAGCTGACATCCCAGTGTTTCTAAAAGGTAAAATTTAAGAGGGGGGGAAAAAAAAGCCCTTCCCCCACCTTTCAAGCTTTAATCATAAAAGTAAGGTAGAGCTTGAGCACTATTTCACTTTCTTTGAAGATCAGTCTATACATATTAAAGCTAAACTGGTTCTTTTTACAAGAGTCACCACCTTCAATCAGCATCAGGCATCTTGTTTGGATTATGCAGCCACCCTGTGAGCCTTGCAGAAGCCCAAAGCTTACTTTTGAAATAAACTCCCCAAAACCACAAGTTCAGCTTGCAGCAACATCAGCCCAGCCTGTCACCTTTCTAAAACAGTTTAGCTGAAGCTATTCTACACTACAGTTTCCTCACCAATAAGACTATGCTGATAGAGGTGTGATCCCAAACTGACACAGCTGCACTGTATAGATCAGGGATGGGCAATTATTTCAGGTTGAGGGCTGCTTAATGAGGTTTGGTGAGCTTTTGAGGGCTGCATGGGTAGCCCTACCCCTTGACAGTTGCCCCACCCCCTGGGTTGCCATCTTGGGACCAGAAGTCCTACCTGCCCCAAACCCCTGACCTTTGCCACCAGAAAGTCCCTCCCCTTGAGCCCTGGAAATACTTTTTTTTTTTTTTTTGGGTGGGGGAAGAGAGAAGGGGAAGAGAGAAGGGTTCCCATCCCAGAACCAGAAGGAAAAAAAAACAGATCGTACAATAGAAGTCTAACACCTACTATAACGTATTTTAGTTTTAATACAAAAAATATTTTTGTAATGACTTGTGTTTGCATAACAACTCAAAAATAAATTATTAGTCTTGTATATTGTGGGGTGGGTGGTAGGGTGCTGGTACAGGTGTGGTGGGGT